ACATCGACGCCGCATCTGACCGCGTCCCTCCTCCTGCCGGTGTCACCGGCGCGGGACACTGTGATCAATCATGGAGCCAAGACGACGAGGCACCGGGTCGTCAAGGCGACCGCAGATCGCTCTTTATCGGAAAGCAGCAGCGACAGGCGGTCCGGCCAACTCCAGCTGGAAATGACATGTTTATTGGCTCCGAATGAGGATCAGCTGGCCAGAGGCTGACATTTGAAGAAAACAGTAGTTTTAGACTCTCTGGCTGGGTGGTTTCCACGGGGAGGCCGGAGGGAGAGACGATCTGTAACTCCTGGAATCATGAACGCGGAAACTGTATACGGTGTACGACATCCACGTGCTTAAAGGCCTGCAGGCTCTACTCTGAATATATACAAAAAATATAATATATAAATCATACAAAAAAAAAACGTAGGAATGAAACTGAACAGTGCTTAGTAAATGTACGGGAAGTTAAGAGGATCTTTCAAAAACTCACGATATACTTTTAGAAATGATATCCATTTAATATACACATAAACTGGCCACTTTATTATGTACACCTGTCCATTGGTTCCTTAAAGCAAATTTCTAGTCTGCCAATCACATGGCAGTAACTAGACAAGACAATCTGCTGCAGGTCAAACCGGGCATCAGAATAGGGAAGAAATGTGTGACTGAACGTGACATGGTTGTTGGTGCCTGACGGGCTGGTCTCAGTAATTCAGAAATTGCTGATCTACTGAGATTTTTACACACAACCATCTCTAGGGTTAATAGAAAACGGTCGGAAACAGAGAAAATATCCAGTGAGTGGCAGTTCTGTGGGCGCAAATGCCTTGTTGATGCCAGAGAATGGCCAGACTCGTGAGATTTGCATCATTGATGTGCAGTAGACAAATCTGCAGACTACATGATTCATTCTATCTATCTATCTATCTATCTATCTATCTATCTATCTATCTATCTATCTATCTATCTATCTATCTATCTATCTATCTATCTATCTATCTATCTATCTATCGAAACTGTATGCTTGTTCTTGTTAATAAACTATAGAAAAAAAAAGTAAAAAAACTGTCATGATTGCTAATAAACTGCTCTCATTACAGAGCTTCGACCAATTAGCTGAATTGTGTAATATTAGCTCATTTTGATTAGTCGCACCCTGATGTCTTGGGTCATTGATTCTTGCGGTCTGCGATTCAGACCCCGAACATACTGTACATGGCCAAAATAGGATTAATCGTTTGGCTTTAAAGATAAAACGGCCCCCAATGCGCTATAGGCTATTTATGAATTAAAAATGTCAGTTGAGATTAAGAACAAAAATTAATTACATAAAAGATCGAAAGAAACAGGAAAGATACACACATATGCATATATAACCTTCAGCTTTCACAGACATTTATTTACCAGTATTAGTCGACCAATAAATAACTAAAACATTTTAAAGGAATCTAATCCTTTAAATTACAGTTTGTTTACGCTTTCAATTGAATGAAAGTGTAACGGAGGCCAGCTAGTAGGTGCTGTGCAGGTACACCTCACTCCTCTGACCTCTAAAGGTGCTCTAGTGACGGACGCTAGAGGCCACAGTCTTTAGCCTTCTTGGTAGAGCAACCGACTCCCATGCGAAATGTCGCCGATTCGATACCAGCTCGGAGCGGGTTGGGTGGCGTAGGACCGGCAGCGTTACAAAAGCACACAATCAACAAAATCTATTATTTTTACATTCACTTAACTGCACACGTCATCATTATGTCATCGCATACTCTTGCTTCATATGAGATTGACAATCACTGTAGTTATTCCAGTTGCATTTTTTTTGTTATTTATTTTCAGGAAATCACTGAAGGTGATATACATCACAACGATATAATGTGGCAATAAGATCGTAACTGTACTTTGCGTTTACACAGTGGCCATATTCATCTATAAACACACAAAAACAACAATGACGTTATACCAAACACTGTATATAGGTCATTCACACCCACTAGACTTTTCTGACAAGGTATTCGAGTGTCAGATGTAAAAGTATGTTGTTGGACTGCTATAACTTACAAGAGTTATTATATTAAGGATTATAGATAACCAAATTTAGCTGTTTTTATCTTAGCGTTTGTTTTAAAGCATGGCAGCAAAACAAGAACACCATTATGAATGTATTGAAACATGACAAAAAATACTAATTTGTGCATCTCCTGACTTTCGTGTGCAGCCATGCTGCCATTGTAGATGGTGTATTCTGGGAATTTTTTGTCCTAGGTTTCGAGTGTGGCCCTGAAAAATCTGTTTCAAGGGTTATCTAGCTCTTCCCCTTAACCCTACACCTTCAAGCTAAGGTGAATTGGGACACCCCTGCCCCTTTACGTGAACACGCAAAACGAGGGGGAGGGATAAGGGCAAAGGGGTAGGATTGGGGCCAAGAGACTGTTTAGACTGTATGTCACTATTAAGATGAAGGATGCCTGAAAAGGCACCTTCAAGTCCGAAGCCATGGTGCTCTACCAGAAAAAGGTGCCTTGCCATCTCTACAGGTCCATACACCAGGTGGAGTTCAAGTATCTTGGGGTTTTGTTCAAGTGAGGGAAGGATGAAAGGTGAGACTGACAGGCAGATCGGCGAATCGGCAGCTGTAATACAGTCAATGTTCCAGCCCGCTGTTCCAGCTCTCAATTTACCAGTCAAACTACGTTCCTACTCTCACCTATGGTCATGAGCTTTGGGTTATGACCGAAAGGACAAGATCTCGGATACAATAGGCTGAAAGACATGTCTGAAAAGGATGACTGAAAAGTCACCAAACGGCCCAAAAACGAGAACTAACCAAAGCTGCAGTTACACTGCATATCTTGATGGTCAATTCCGATATTGTAACTGTATCCATTTTTTTTTTGTTTGATGACCAGCTTACGTCTTCTTTAATCGTATCTAATTGTCTGCATTTACACAGCACATGAAAAAGATGCAATGACCAGAAAAGAAGAAGAAAAAAAAAAAAAAAAAGAGCGGGCACTGACTTACAGCTGATAATAAAAGAGCAGGGTTTCATTTTTTAAATTCTTTTTGAGTTGTTTTACTATAATTATGACAGAAAAGTTCTCATTTTGCCATCTTCTTTTAAAATAGGTCTTTTTAAACCAGTAGGCATCTTAGTGTGATGTCCATGGCTTAATTTATGCATGTGATGTATGCAAGTTTATATGTTACGCTCTAGCTCTCTCTCGTTAACATGTGTAAATACTTGTGCTACTTGACAATATAAAAGCCTTGTAATCCTACAGTATGGGATTAAAGTTTTGGGACTCTGCTAAAGTCTGTTCTGAAATGAAAGCGTCAGAGTTGATGTCATTCGCTATGGTTTTTAATGATGCGTGGATAAATTTCCACATATGAATAAGGTCTAAATCTGATTTGAGTAAATCGGAATCTATGCGATTTTTTTTCCTTCTTACACATACATGGGCCGTATCAGATTTTTGACCCCATAGGAGAAAAAAAAAAAAAAAAACAGAATTCGGTCATGAACCATGCAGCATAAACGCAGCCTAAATGAACTACAGAATTTCTGTTTTCAATACTAATTACATGCATTCTATCAGGTGTGCTCAAGCTTTGTTTGTGCACATTTATAGGTGGCTAGTAAGGGTTCAAAGTGCATAACAAGCGTTAACATTGTCGCCCCACATGTAAACATTAATTTGCATAGTGTTATAATATCCGCAGCATAATAAGCACTGCTCTGGGGAAGATGAGAAATGTGGATGAATGGCTAATAACACAAATAAACCCTTATTTAGTGAAATATAAAGCAAAAACTACTTTTTTTAAAAAAGCGATCATTAAAAACAACATCGCAAAAAGTAGCGCAGAGTTGTTGAATCAGTGGAAAACCTACAGTACATTAGTTTTCTGATATGAGCTCGTATACAGTTTTACGCTTTCATTGTTGGGATGGTCTACAAAAGTACAGCATTGGCAAACGAAAGCATCAAGTCTGGCCTTCCCACGAAAGGGCCTCTCCCAGGGGGAATCTGCCAGCTCTAATCCCAGCGGCCTAGCGTTACTGAACTGTGCTGTGTTGCCATGTTTGACGCTCAGTGGTGAACCACAACCTGCCTCCTCGCCAATGACAGACTTCACACCCAGCAGTCAGTGGTTTGGGGCGGCACGATGACTAGCCCTCCGCGAGCGACTGCGCCATGTGTCAAGATGGCACATAATGACTAGGAACCGCAGACGATTTGCACTGCCACAAAAACCGCACTGACAACACCAGAACTCGCTCTTCATTAAAAACAGGAAGCTACCAAAATCTACTCAACAGCAGTTCGCCTGTTATTTACAAGGAAACAACATTTCCAGCATCCAAATAGTCAATTATCGTACATTAACACCTCAGGACTTCCACGGCAACAATAAAAGGCATCATTTTGACAACTCCTTGCACGAGCACCTCCTGTCCAAATCTCAAACTCCAACTCCTGCCAAGAGCGGCATGCTGGGTGCACACGAGACCTATGGATTTCACGAGCCACTTCATCGGAAAGTGCAATTATGAAAGATGTCTGTCGAGAGAGGCGGGGGGAAAAGGCTTGTTCCAGGCGTTAGGCTCATAATGGCTGGCTACTGGAGCGGACAGAGAGCCCCTGCCATGTCCTCTCGTCCTGTCGGAGCGCGTTATGTCAGCCGCTCCACAGGACTGATGGTGTTTATGATGGCTAGAGTAAACAGGCCTGTCGGAGCCACTCATTCCCCGGCAACCAGGTCATGCAGTGCTACTGTACGACACTTCTAGCACACAGTTCGGCTTTTTAAAAGTGTATTTAGCTTTAAGGTTTGAAACTGAAGTACAGTAGTTCACATTTGGCGAGCCAATTCATATAGTTTGAGAGATCAAACAGATGTAAATGTGAATTTATTGTGTTAAATATATAAAAGTTTAATTGTCAAAAAAAAAAAAAAAAATGCTATCCGACATCCCCCACAGAGCTACACAAACAAGGTTTTGGTTTCCTAGGCGAATATTGTGAGTCACTTTTATTAAAAGCATCATTACTACAGTTGGCAGCAATTTATACAGTTCATCATACATGATGGTTTCAAAATAAAAACCAAAAAGAAGAAAAAAAAAAAAGACACTCACAAAAGAAAAAAACAAAACAATTTACAACATTTATGTTTGTAAACTTCAAGGCTAGTTAGAATTGAGGTAATGCTGTTCAGCTTTGTGGCTAAAGTAACAAAAGTCCATTCAAATAGATAAAGGTACCTGATTTTATTCTTACACCAGTGCATTAACATGGATACAATGAGACAATTTGACTGCAGTAATTTATTTCATATCGCTTTTTCACACTTTCCGGTGTTAAGTCCAGAAGAGTAAAATTGAACATTCAAAAGCTGCCTTCGTTATTGCTGTCTCCACAGGTTGAGAGGTCTCCTCACCCGTTTGGATTGTCAGTGTGAGAGACTGGGAACAGTACGAGTGTAGACTATGATATGTGAGAACTTTGCTCGCTCCTCTCAGCAGAACAGTACAACGAAAACCACGATTCTTCCTCAGCAGCGGAGAGTCTTAATGCCGTTAAATTGTACACCACTGAATATTACGAGATGCTACTCATTGTTACAATATCAACAAGAGAGAGAGAGGGAGAGAGAGAGGACAAAAAATAAAATAAAGAGAGCAGCATAGCACTATCGGAACGATTAATTCCTATAATATTCAGGAAATTTCCATCTCATCTAGAAGGCACCCACACAGTGCCGAAGACTTCAAGAAAAACAACAACAAAAGAAACATGGAAAATATAAAATAAAACAAAAAACACCCTTTTGACAGCCGCACAACTCTACGTCGGTTTGCATCATCCCTGGCTATGCTAATGGTTACAGAGACAGCGTATTTGCTTCCCTCTTAACGTTACCTGTCAACAAAAACCAAAGTGTTTTGGATAGTGTTGGCATGTAAACAACTGGACTAACATCCTGTCAGAGTTCAGTCAGCGTCTCCTCAGCCCTGGGGAAATGTTAGAAGGCCTGATTCAGTTTTTTTTTTTATTCAGTCACTTTTGTCATCCTCATCAGCAGGGTCATCATCATCATCGTCGTCGTCGTCGTCCTCATCATCCATTCCACCCTCCATGGAGTCCATTTCCTCTGCTGGGCCTGCCAGGTCATCATCCAGTACTGATGAATCAGCAGTCTTGTTCTGGCTCTCCTCTGAGTCACTGTCTTCAAGTGTGTTGTCAGCAGTTTCCACATCAGCCACTGAGGCATTTGGGTCCTGATTTGTGCGGGGCCCTTTGTCGGACTCCTTGTCCTCGCCAGTGGCTCCTAAGGCCCCGGACACAGCGCTCTGGAGGTCAGCGAGAGAAGCTTGAGGGAAGCCTGGGATGGCCAGGCCACCGAGGCTGGGAGGTAAAAACATGGATGGGTAGAAGAGACCTGGCGCCATAGTGGACAGCAGGAAAGGGTTGAAGGCCAGCGTCCCTGTAGACATACCAGCAGCAGCAGCGGCGGCGGCTGCATTGAGCGCTGCAGCATCACCAGTAGCATCTGCAGACTCTACAGTTTCAGACGATTTCTCGGCTTGCTTTTCTTCCTTCTCATCTCCTTCTCCCTTGGTCTCCTCGTCTGTCTTCGGCTTGGAATTCTCCTCAGATTCAGCCTGTTCTGTGCTGGAAGCACCATTGGTGGCTGTCGCCGCTGCAGCCAGGTTTCCTCCAAAGAGACTACCCAGACTGAACATGTTAGGGAGGCCACCCATTCCAGGAAGCATGAGGGGAAGCATGGCCGCTGCATGTTTGGCGTCTGCGCCACCACCAAGAGCAGTAGGAAAGCCCATAAGGCCAGCTGCCAGCTGGAGGCTCTGGAGGTTCTGCAGACCCTGCAAACTGGTCAGGTCCATACTTCCAAACAGCCCGTTCATCAGCAGAGGATTAACACCGGACGTGGTGGCTGCTGCCGCTGCTGCTGCTGCTGCCTGCGCTGCTGCTGTGGCCTTGGCGATCTCTGCTTTGGGTCTCCTGCCCCTGCGGCGGACACCCTCCTCTCTGACCACTGGCCCCGTCAGAAGACGGTCAAACATAGACTCTGGCAGAAAACCCTATAGACAAAAATAAAACACAATTAAAGTATTAGTAGAGTTCAAAGACTAAGATGTGTACATTAATTTTACTAATACAATACATTATGAAATTCAGATAAAAAACATCCAAAAAAAAAAAAAAAAGACCCACCGACTGCTTCACAATATCTGTCCAGTCTGGGGCTATGGCATACTCTGGATTTTCAACTAGCCAGCGTGGTAAATCCTTCATTGGAGGGGCCATGGCTCCACCCATCTGTAGTCAAACAAGTTATAAAGGTTACAGTCAGTATAAACAATATAAAAAGTGAAAAAAAAAAAAACTGTAAATTTCTAATTAAGACTTGCCTTTCTTCCATTCCTTATGTTAACAACAGGGACCCTCTCCTCCCCGGTCAGCGTGTTAATGTCGATCTTGTTGGGATTGCGGCATCTGTGCCTCTTTTGTTTAGGCTTGGCAAACTGCGAGAGGAGGAGGTCCTCATTCTTCTAAAAGATAAGAGAACTCTGTTAGATAATTTGCATATGACACAGGACAATCCCACATCAGCCAACAGAAAAGGCTGGATGGCACAAAGAACTGCACTCACTGGTACGTATCCAGGCATATCCATGGTGTATGTGGGGTGTTGTCTAAGCCATTCCCGCAGGTCCTTAGTGCTGGATCCATCTTCTCCTTGAAGACTTCCCTCATCTAGACCTTCACCAGAGGCCTTCTGTGCAGGAGACGGCATCGCTAAATGTGTCCGTCCATCCACAAAAGCTTTGGTCCCGTCAGAAAGCTCCTGTTGAAGCAAAAAGAAAAAGAGCAGGAAATGAGAAAAAGAAATGCAATGATAACGCCACAACACAAATATCACATTTGAACAGGATACGAACCGCACTGAGCTGTCCTCTCTTGTTCCCCATAAAGAGCAGTTCCAACCCCTCCACATTTTTCCTGCGACCTCTCTTTCTCCGGTTGGGGAGTTCAGTGTCAAGTAGTGAGCCGTTGGCCCTGGGTCTGGAGGAAGCACCCGGTTGTAGCAGCTCCATCTGTGCTTTCAGGGTTGCGGAGGAGGCCATGGCTCCAGGGAAGGCCGAGGCGGATGACGAGGAGGACACGCTGTGCAGAGCCTTGGTCAGATCTATGGCCTGAGCCTGGCCTTCTGCATGAGATTCTCGCAGCTGAGCAACCATTTCCATCAGGTTCCTGCGCTTGGCAGCACGCTCAGCCTCAATCTCTATTTTCCTTCTCCTGCGTCTGCGCTGTCGGGGAACTGACAGACTCAAAGCATCATCCTAAAGAATGAAGGGATGTGTTTAATAGGGATAAATTTTTAACTGTGTAAAACTGATCATTAATAATACATAATACAAAAGGATGTTCTGACACTCAGAGAGTCACAGGGTGAAGCACTTTAGGTTAAGGGTGGGACTTGCCTTGTTGACCTGTGGTGACATGGTGAGGTCTTCACTTCCACTGTAGCTGGTCTGACCCACCAGTGAGAGATCACCCAAACTCCGCCTCTGTAGGGGGCTTTCTGTCGCCATGGAGCTGTAGCCAGGCAACAGGCCTGGGAAGTCAAAGAACTGCCTCCTGTTGGAAGGCCACTTGCCCTTCATGACCGCTTCACAGATGTTGTCCATTCGATTGATCATTACCCTGTCCTGAAGTACAAACACAGAAGAGTGTAAGCAGGCGTGTGCGCGTGTATGCATGCATAATCAGCTAGAGGGTACACTCGGTAACTTGTTTTCTCCATTTTAGCTCCAGTTTAATGTGTAAAGGATCTAGCAGTTTTGCCTTCTTAATAATGACAAAACATGTGGCAGCTATCAGTAGTCTTTTCACATGCATTATATCCTTGGTTTGCTCAAAGCTCCAGCCTTGACTTGATTCATCTTTTAATCACTTTTGTGGCAAACCAATATTCCTTTGATAAAGATGGGAAATGCAAGCACATGTATACACGTAAAACCTTCTTCTAAAAGACATTTAATTGACCACAAAGACAAGAAATTAATTGAAAATGAAAAAAAGAAAGTCTAACCTTTGGCCAGAAAGAGAAGAGTGAGCGTTCACTGAACATCTGAGAGGCCGATGGCTCCACATCATCAACACTAAAGCAGTCTCTAGTCTCATTGGTCTCATCACGGGCTGTGCTCAAGGAGGCATTGCTCTCCTCATCAAAGTTCTTCCTTTCAGATAAAGCTCCGACTGCAAATTAAAATGATCTTTTAGCACACAAAACTGAAACAAACTTGACCATCTAAAGCAGGAGTCACCAAAATTGTTAACAAGCTAATCAAGGTCTTACTAGGTATGCTTAAAACAACCAGGCAGGTGTGTTGAGGTAAGTTGGAGCTAAACCCTGTATGGACATCGGCACTCCAGGACAGAGACTGGTGGACCCATGATCTAAAGCATGGGTGCCAAACTCGTTACTGGAGGGCCACAACTCTGCACAGTTTTGCTCCAATCCTAGTCAAACACAGCTGATCCAATTATTCAAGGTGTTCAAGACTTCTAGATACTGTTAAGTAGGTGCGAGTTGAAGGTGGTTGGAGCTAAATTCTGCAGAGCTGTGGTCTAAAGGTTTATGAGGTGCTACCAAGAATTATGTGAAGGTGAAGTGTGTTGATATTCCAGCATATTCCCTTGTGAAATAATCATTCACAGAATGTATCCTTTTTACTTTGGATTTCATGAAAATGGAGTAATAAAAAAATCCTTGTAGTAATGAGGTCTAATATTCACCTTCAGCTTGTGAAGATTTTTCTGATTTGTCATCCTCATCCATTTTCTCTTCCTCATCTTCTGAGGCTTTCTCGGTAGACAGTTTATTCCCAGTGGGTAGCTCTTTCTCATCCTGAGCATTCTTGTCCTCAGAGGAAGGGAGAGTGTCTGTGGGCTCCTGATCCATTGGCTTCTTCTCAACCATACCATCCACAGGACAAACCTGCTCCACATCGGTCTTAAACTCAGTCACATCCTTCTCCTCCACTTCCATCTTTTCCTCTTTGGGTTCTTGCTTAGGACCCAAACCATTTTCGTCCTCTTCATTCTTCACTTCCTTTTTAGGAGACAAGGCTTCAGATTTCTCTTCTTTAACATCTTCTATGCTCCCATTCTCCACTTTGGGTAGCGTTACATCTCCCTGCTCTTCCTTCACCTCTTCGTCTTTGGGGAGGGTCAGAGGAGTGAGAGGATCAGACACAATGACGGGCAGTTCCACACCTTTGCCCTGTGTGAACTTCCGATAGGCCTCCAAGAAGCTCAGCTCTGGGTCGTTGAGGATGTGGTAGTCGGTACGGCTGACACCATGCTTTGCGGCTCCACGCAGGAGGTCTCGGTCATGACGTCCAGGCTCCCACCAGGCCGGGAGGTCAGGGCTGGGCTGGCACAGGCTTAACCTCTCCTCCAGAAGAGGGTGCGGCAACACCTGCTCCCTGATCCGCCGCAGCAGCTCAATACGATAGAGTGTCCGTGAAGCCCGCTCCTCCGTAATAGGGTCAATGATGATGGTCGGGTCCGGCAGTTCTGTAAGCAGACAGATAAGGTCCAGTTGCATTATAAAAAAAAATAAATAAAAATTAAAAAAAAAAAAAAAGATAAAAATAAATACTGTCCATCTATTTATCAATCTATAGCACTAATACAAGAAAAAAAAACTTTACACATCAATATAGGCATTACAATATTGTAACATGCAATATGAAGATTAGATTTTCATTTTGAGATTACAGGTGTGCTAAATATAATTGACAGCACAATTAAATATAAAATTTCAACAGTGTTTCTAGCTGATGAAAAATAATTATCACTAATATAGTGTGCATTATACTTTAGCGTTCTATGGATTATGAAATAGGAAAATAGAGCTTTGGACAACTAAAAAAACGTAAAAAAGCGGTAGAAAAAAAAAAAAATTCTAGGACAACTTCTTTGAGGCTTCAAGAGATGTACAAAAGATATTAAAACATTTACCCGTCTCTGATTTAAGTGGCATCCGGCACACCCGCTTGCACATGGCCACAAATGAACAGTAATATTTTTCCAAGCTCTCGTCAGTCTTCTTGTCTAGACGGGCAAAGGCACGGAACTGGGACCAGTCAAAGCACTGTCTGTGCACATCATAAACTACACCGAATGTGGATACCACACGGTAGAAATCGGCCTCTTCACGCCTTGTCCATCTGGAAAACAGACGTTGGTAAATTTAAAATGAGGTGATGTAACTAAAAGGAGAAAAACATTTTTTTGTTCATTCTAAAACAAAAATGAAAGCTAACCTCTGTCGTCGCTCTTTGAAATAAGCTGCACTATCAGCCAGCAGGGCGGCGCTGTCTGGAATGAAAGGTGATCCCTTAGCCATGAAGGCCCCTCCATCAGCCATGAATGCCACTGCTCCATCAGGGACATAAGCTCCTCCTTCTGTTACCATAGCAAGGATGTCATCACGCGGGCGGCGCCGGCGCCGATCAGGTTTAGCCATGGCTTCCTGTCTTAGTTGCTCACGTTTGTGAGTGCGCTGATAGGCTGTGATGAGGCGGCGCAATCGAGCGGTCAGAGCAGAGGCTGGTGGCCAGTACAGATTGCCTGGCTTCCCGTTCTCACCAAGCTTAGGTGCTGAGTGTGGACAAACAGTAATGATAAACAGAGACTATTAAAATCTTAAATAAAATGGCCAACATCTGTGAACTGGAAAAGATAAATACCTTCTCCCGTCTCGCCATCCATCCCGTCATTATTATCATCTAAAGGAGAGTTTGTAAAATCCTGCCGACAAAGAAAATAATGTTATCTGATCTTTAACAAAAAAGGATACACTCAAGATAAATGCATTTTCAAACTTACATCTAGATCGTCTTTAAAAGACATTCGAAGTGGTTTGTACTCTGGGTCTTCTTCCTCTCTATAAAAAGAAGAAAAAAATGCTTTGAGTGCAACAGAAAACAAAGAAAAGCAGCAAAAGAAAAGTAGGGTGAAGGATAAAGGAAGGGAGATAGAAAGAGCAGGAGTCCCTCTTGCTGGGGCTGTGATTTTGGGCCAAACTTACCCCTCGACACCATCTGCCATCATGTCCGCTCCCCTCTGCTCAGCAGCGATGGCCTTGGCATCAGGCATGCCCACCCTCTCCAGGAAACACAGGGTGGGGTCAGCACGCATAGAGTTATACTTCTCGTAGCCTAGCGGAAGAAAAAGAGCAGTGGCAAACATAAAATATGCATAATTACAGGCTGAGCTGTGGAAGCTATTATTTCCCCTAGTGATGTGAAAGCAGAAAAGAGTATTACTGGTGTGTCAAATGGAAAAAGAAAATGGAAAAAAGATTAAAAGGTTTATGTGTGATGAAATTATGTAATGTGTTTAAAGAGGTTTAAAAATGGGCCAATATACTGAATGCCAAATATAGCAAAAGCAATCCTCAAAATACCAAAAGATTTGAGGAAATAAAGAAAAGGTTAAGTTATGATTAAAACATTTTATGAAAAAGTCCTTGGAAAATACCATGTGGACAGATTTTAGAAAGACAGCTGACATGTTAATTGTCAAAATTATGTTTTGATACACAATAAAATCCTTTTAAAAACTATCCGAAGATCACATCAAACCAAAAAATAAAAAAATTTGAAGAAACAAAAGGGCGAGCCAGAGGAAAATGCCCGTTGAAACTGTCCAAGCAGAACAGATTTGAGCCTGCGGATCCCTACAGTGCACAACAGGGGAGGCGATTGGCAGGCTGGACCCACTTCAGCTGAGCCGCTGATCAGACAGCTCGAGCACCCCCTCCCCCGCCAGAACATCACATTTCAATTAGGATTTATGCGGTGACACATTGTTCCTAACTGCTGCCGCGCCCCGAGCCAAACTGTAATCATGAGGGGGTTTATAGGCCATCACTCTTTCCTGTGCAGTCCAGGCCTGCCACCTTTCCTCCCCAGACCTCCCTACTGAATTGGGATTATGATTAAGAACAGGCTGCCTGTGTTATATACACGCTCCTGTGTGTGTGTGTGTGTGTGTGTGTGTGTGTGCGCGCACGTGTATAGAGGCCAGCTGAGTTAACGAGGTAGCGCAGCGCACCGGGGCAGACCAGAGAGCGAGAGAGCTCTCTGTACACACATTCAGGAAAAAGACCAATCTGAGAGAAGCATAAAAGGCCCTCGCCAAGATTAATATCGGTGGCGAGATCAGCAGACATTATTAAATAAAGCGGCTATTACTATACTTAATGCAATTAAAAGTCGGCAGCTGAGAAACCCCTCTCAATCTCGCTCTGTCTTTTTTAATACTGCTTTGGCCCCGTTTCCCCCAAAAGATAAATTGGGACAGCTGCGCAGCTTTACAAAAGAAAACAATCACATCCCACACCGGGAATTTAGCAGGTTCTCCCAGAACACTTCTTAACACTGTGGGTCAATGTTAATAAAATGTGCTGAGAGGTGCCTGTTGCCTCTGATGGATAGGATCTCAACTCCCCCTGCCTCTCTATCTAGTCCCAGATCAGCCATTCAGAAAATATCACCAATCAATCTCTAGGCAATATTACAATAGGTCAACGTTAGCAATTACTGTCACCACGAAAGCACCAATGGCAGCTGTGAAGAGGTGGAGCTCACCATGCTTGAAGACGCCGATAAGGAGGGACTTGTCTGCGTCAAGGTCCCACCAATCAGTGGGAACGTCAGCATGGAAGGGTTGTGGGATCCAGATATCCAACTCACTGTAAGCGAAAGACAAACAAACACAGGAAAGAGTGATTAAAACCAGGAGATGGCCACAGCGGCACATAATCTAATGAGCGCAGCATTAATGTCTATCTGCAGACATCTGGTAGGAAATGCAAGCATTAGCAAGCCACATCTCATTTAGGCCCATTTTTCTCATCTTGTTTATTCAGGGCCAACCTGATTACGGCCAGAGATCTGAGCCGCTCGCTTATCTCACCCTCTGCACTGGTGCGCACACGCGAGCCCTCGCAGTCATTAGAACTTCAGTCGAGTCCTTGAGAGTATCAATATGGCAAGCACGTTTTCACATTATAAATGCATGCACATCTGGGTGGGGGTGTTGTCAGATAGGGGGAGGAGGAGGAGGAGAAAGTGATGGAGGGAGAGGAAAGATAACAGCAGGCAGGATTCGGTAGAAGGGAATGGAGGGAGATGCCAACCTTGAATCGGTTCCCTCCAGGATTCTGTCTGCCTGGTCTCCGATGACTTCTTGTCGCAGATAGTAGAGCATGCGGACCCGCAGCAGCACTCTGTCAGAGATAGAGAGAGAGGATTAAAAAGGGCAGGAGAAAAACAACAGAAAAAGAACAAAGATGAGTTGGGGGTTAATGGAGTGACACACCGATTGAAAGGAAGGAAAAAAGGACAAAAGGAAGGAGAAAAGGCAGAAACAAAAGAGTGAGTAAGTTTGGCCAGCTCCGAGCTGTGCCAGCAGCAGTAGCAGCGGCAGCAGCAGCTCTTTGGCATGTGCCACAGCTCATCCATCATGCTGCCAGGGCTGATTAGCCACGCTGTGCGGCAGCCTCCACGCCTGACAGATGGCTGCACATAATCACCTCTGTGTGTGCCGCCTTTCACCCGCTTCCAACAGGTCTGCCTGGCACCTGGCCTGGCACCGCGCCGCTGCGCTTGGGGAGCCGCCCGTACCCACCCTCACCCCCCTCCTCCGTGCACACACACACTTTCAGCACCTTCATCCTCTCATTTTCATTTCCTTCCTAATGCTGTTAGGGAAGTTGGGGAGGTGCTAACGGGACGCCTCCAAAGTACAGAGGCAGAAGTTTGCAGTGCGGCGAGCAGATGGTTGGCGGTCTAAGCACCTCGCATTTATCGTCTCGTAACGTTTCCTCAGCTGTTGCTCTGTTCCCCTTCTCTGGATGCACATCAGAGCCAGCAGTGTAAACCTTGTTTTCCTTTCTCTCTTTCCCCCATCACCGCCTAGTGTTAGCCAGGACACAACAATACCGGCCTGGCAACAGAAATTATTTATCAAATGAAACCAGAGAGTCTGTAAAAAACAAAAGACGCACACAGGCGGCACACGGGCCATAATGGACGTGTGGGGTGAGAGGAGAAATCATCATGTGCGGCCTGTTGAGCTGAACGATGAATTATTGAGCGATCTTAAAATCTTTAATTTCAGCAATGAAAAAGATTCCTCACGGCCTGTCATTCATTATTTCAGTCACTTGGCAGAAGCCTCTGCCAGAAAGATGGGACTCTTTCTTTTGCCAGATTCTCTACAGCTGGCCATTTTTTAACTGACATTCATTAGTCAAAGCTAAACTATGGAGGAGCCAAGCAGCTTAATGAAACATCTGCACCACAAGGTAATGTTGCTAACTCACTTTTGGACACGTTCAACTAAATTCACAAGTTTGCTTCAATTACTTTTTTCAAGTTGAAAAGCTCCTCAAGTATTTAAATGCACCTGCTTTCATGATATCAGGCTTGGAAGTTAAAGGTTGCTTTCCAAAAAAACTCTCAACTATCAAAGTGAGATTTTAAAACAGGACCAACACTTAAGTGTTAGTTCATGAAAAAAAAATAATAATAAATAATAATAATTTTAACGTTTACTAGTTTGCTTGCTCTGTTGAAGAGTTTTTGAAGAAAGCCAATTGCAGGTATATAATTTCCTTCCAAGTGAGAAAGAAACTCATATAGGTATGGAACAAATGAAAGAGGAGCAAATGACGGCAGTATTTTCACTTTTTATGTGAACAATAGCAAAAGGGATTTCCATTTCCATTGACGATCATTGCATAAGGACCTTTTAATTATAAAAATAAAGATGAGAAGATTTTTATTAACATGGAGCGTACTAATCAGTGATCTTTCACAGATCTTTATAGTTGTAAGTGCACTTAATAATAATAATAATAAATTAGGCTTAAATAATACTTTCAACAGGCAGATTATTTTTATTTTCCAAATAACCTTTATTAAGATAGAATAGGATAGGATAGTGGTGATTACAGACTTCAAAACATTGGGAGCAGAGAGAGGGGAAGGACCGAGTCGAGAATTGAACTCAACCACAAGACTATTGTCATCAACCAATGGGTAGAAGTTTAAAACACAAGCCAACAAGATTTAATCCCCAAATACTATTTAAAAGAAAAAATAAAGCCTTATCAGCAGAGTTAAACAATCAAAAACAATGTATTTAATAGATTTTTTCCAGTTAAAGTAAAACCATTGTAACACTGCAGACATAAACATTAGTTTCTTCAGTAAAGCTGCAAAAGTTCAGTATTTAAGATATGTTACATACTTGTTGCAGTGGTGTTTCAGGTGTCTCTTGTAACTGTCCTCCTGAAGGAGTAAGTCAGGATTACAGTCAGCAAGCCAGTCTGCCTGTGGCATGCGTGTCTGAGCAACCGGCAACTTCCCCTTCTTCCCTTTACGGCCCCGGGGAACAGGAGCAGACAATCCTGAAGAGACAGAAATGGCATTGTTTAGTATGTAAAGAGCCAGATGCAAAAAAAAAAAAAAGCTCAGAGGAAACAAGTGCAGTGTCCTACCAGAATGGTTGGTCAGTGTGCGGCTCTGGCCATCCTCAGTAGGGGTTATGAGGTCCCAAATGAAGCCCTTGATGTTTTCGTCTCCACGGTAGTGGAGCAGGCAGTAGGCCAGAAGTGCACGGCAGATGGTCTCTACGTCTCGCTCCCTCAGCGGGCGCTTAAAGCGTCCATGGGAGAGGATGTCACCCCAGCGGCCCCAGCTACGCAAAACAGAAGAAGAGTTAGCCAGGGCAAATATAGCTAGATAAAACCATAGTTTCTTTCAAGCATTATAGACATGTTGAACTGCAGCTCTGCAAAATCTTATTTATAAACTTACATAGAACTTGTATAATAAATCAGTTAAACTAATTCAAAATGTGAATTTGTATGGTATGGGGAATAATCTAGCTCAGTGGCAGAACTTTAAGCTTTGTATTGCTCTATGTTTGTGCTAGTTCTCATAAAACAGAGAAGGAAGGGTGGCACCACTGCCTTGCTGGCATGGTGCATGACCATGGGGAGACCCAATGCCCTTGTTATTTGATGGAGTAGGCTACTCAAGCACTCTCTAAGCACAAGCCTAAAGGTTTTTTTTTTTTTTTTTGAAAAGAGAGGGGGAAGGTCTGCTCTGGTTTCACAGCCTTGCACTGCTTTTCCAAAAAAGAAAAAAAAAAAAAAACACATCAGAAGAGACAAAGCCCTCAGACTTGATGGATCTAATTTGCCGTATAGCCCAGGGGTCTAGACGCGTCTGACTGAAAAGGAAAAAAAATACTGGTCAGACACGGTGCGTGCAGCCAGCCATGATTAGTGCTGAGTGCACTGAGGCCTGGCTCTTAATTAACTGTACGCGTTAGATAGCGCCGTGTCTGCCACTGCCCCGGGACAAGCAAGCGTGACAAACTCGGCCACTGCACTGGTGGGCTGTGAGCTACCAGATATTCTTATTCCAAATGAAAAACAAGATGAGACAAGGGAAATTTGGATGTCGCTAAAACAAAGCAGGAAGCTGAATATCCTGTCTCATGGCACTGGGATGGACTTCCTGCTAAAGCCAGTTTCCATGACAAGCTACAGTTGAGGCAAATGGAAATCTATGGATGAGGTACAAGGAATGGAAGAAGTCTGACAAAAAAAATTACTTGAGCACTTGAACATGTATATTTCTATGTTGGAAATTAGTTGGGATTTTTTTCTCTCAATGGGGTGCCATGCTTTGCTGTGGGTTCATGTGTAGTTGGTGCACTCAAAGGTGCTTTTGAGCAAAATGCATCTGCTAAATGGCAACTAATTATAGGGATAGACCCTCGGGACTGCTCAAGTGCAAGATGGTAATATAGCACACAACTGTCATCTCTGTAGATTTTTTTGGGCTAGCACTGACAGCTAAAAGGAGCACAAAGCAGATAAAAATCAGCAAAACACTTAAATATGTCCATTTCCAGACTGCACTCACCCATATACCAGCAGGTTTTTTTCCACTCTGAAGCACTCACTGCGGGGGTACCCCTGGGTTCGGTCCTGAGGCCTCCTTGGTTTCTGAATAGGTTTATCCTCAGAGTCACTCTCAAGCTCTGAATACTCCATCAAGTCATCCTCTTTCATGGAACTGTAGTGACGAGTTTGCTTCCGGACCCGAGGAGTGTCAATCACCAGATTATTCTGACAAGTAACACAAGGGTTAGAACGATCCCTCGAGAATTAAATAAGCAGAAAAGGATTCTGCATGTTCAGCACCTTTAGCTCAATTGCATGGTAGCATTATAATATAGATGACCACTAGACTGCAGAACGGAAGACCTCTGTTCAAGGGCACATGCAAAAAGTACTGTGATAAAGCACTTTTATTTAGACATAACATGACGCTTCCCTTCAAGCAGATATAAGCTGCTTAGCGCCTCCAATTCTCCAGAGTGCAAAGAACAGTGGTAATTACAGAAAATGCTTCCCGTGGCCAAGTTTAAACAATTTAGCCTTAGCTCAATTACGGCTACATTCCACGCACTGTTAGCCTGGGGAAATCAGCCTCATTAATTATGCCCAGATAGCATATTTATGAGGAGTGACACCACGGAGTGTGGTGGAAACTACCCAGATTTGGATTCACACCATCTTCAGTTATCAATTGTCAGAGAGAATTATGACTATGATACCTGTCAAAAGCTGCTAATGCATGACCCTGGCATTAATGAAACAATGAATAATAGTCAGCCGTAAGTGCTCTGCACAATTACACAAGAGAGAAGTGCTATAGATTAGTGCCTCAATTCATGCAGCATCTCCTGCGAGACACGGCACAAGAGAGCTCCTTTTTCTCTGTTAAGTCACAGCTTACCCTGCCATTGATCGCATCCAGGTCCAGCTCTGCTTTTTTTGCCCATTTCTGCCAGAAATCTGGGTCCTCCAGAGAAATGTCGGTTCTGTTCCCAGCGGACACAAAACTTGCCTGGTAAGGGAAAAAAATTATATAAATGGTCAGATCAGAGACACTTACCCTTTAGGTTGCTCTATTTTAGGAGCAAGATTAAATGGGGAGTATGCTTCTATAAAGCCAATTATGCAATAACATTGATGAATGGGTCAATTTTTTGGGTTAAAATCATTAATACAACAGCCAAGGGGGAGGGTGATGTCTTCACCTTAGCAAATGTTGAGCCTTTGCCTTCTGATTCAATTGTAATGGTCTGTGTACGTCTCTGCAAAATCTGATCAATGTCTTCTTCACAGAACTTGGATCCCTCATCCTCCTCTTCCATTAGAGCTCCATATGCTCCTTTACGCAGGAGATCCTCAATCTCCTTTTTAGAGAGCTGCTGAACCTAAAATAAAGAGAGAGGAATGTATTCATTTCACAAAATACAAATCTCAATAAATTTGACTTTTTCATCTTGGGTATTTTACAGGGTGGACAAATTTAGGCACATGGTAAAAAGGAAAATAAGTCTCAGGGCACAGGAATTAGAGGTCTTTCCACTGACTGCCAACATGTGCAAAGTATGTTTGATTAATGAACCATCTGGAATACGGTTTCAGTGAAACACCACAAAATGGTGGCGCTGTGTGCAGTTCATACCCCATTGGCAGCATTCTCCCTGCCGCTCATGGACTGAAGCACAGCCTTGTCCAGTCCTAACTTCAAGCTGGCCTTGTCAAACATCTCTCTTTCGTAGGAGTTTCTGGTGATCAGGCGGTAAATCTTCACAGACTTGCTCTGTCCTATCCTGTGGCATCGAGCTTGTGCCTGGAGGCAACAGCACAAACCGGTCACATACACCGCCTTTGAGGACTCAAACACTATAAAGCACTAAGGTTGCACAATGTGATAGAGTATTTTCAATTGAATCTAGCTGAAATGCAGTCATAAGATTATAAAAAAAAGAACATTTAAAAAAAAAAAAAAAAAAGTTCCACTGAAAGTCCAGCACAATTTTACTTCCAACTGCAATAATGTGATCATGAAACTAGCATGCTTACCTGCAGGTCATTTTGAGGGTTCCAGTCAGAATCAAATATAATACATGTATCAGCTGCAGTTAGGTTAATACCCAAGCCACCAGCCCTTGTGCACAGCAGGAATACAAAGCGGTCAGAGTCTGGTCGAGAGAAGCGGTCAATAGCTGCCTGGCGGAGATTCCCTCGAACTCTGCCATCTATACGCTCATATGGATACCTACAATGAAGGAAATAGGCCGTAGGTTAACTATAAACATCTATTTGCTAATATCCTTTACAATGATAGTCAGGTCCAAGTCTTTCTTCATGGCAAACATTGATTTGCAGTAATACAAATGTTAAAAAATAAATAAAAACCCATGAAAAAACAACAACACTTGTTCTTATTAAGTATATGTTAAACTACGGCTTATTATTAAAAGTATTTATCTAAATTAGCTAGTGCTGTAAGGATCCTACCGTCTCTGGATGAGGTAGTCCTCCAGGATGTCCAGACAGCGCACCATCTGGGAAAAGATGAGCACACGGTGACCCCCAGCCTTCAGTTTGGGGAGCAGCTTGTCGATCAGCACCAGTTTTCCTGCAGCCTGGATCATGGCCTGGAGGTGAAACTCTGGTTGGTCTAAAGGATGAGTCTCCCTGAACTCCTCCATTATCTTCTCTTCAGCTCCTACAGAGAGAAAAGACAAAACTTTCAGTCTGCAAATGTTTCTATAAACAATCAGCTGTACTGAAGTATAAAACCTTAGCAAACAAAGCTAATTTAGAATTTATTTTTTACATTTGTGCCACTTGCTCACCATTGATGAGGTAGGGGTGATTGCAGCACTTTCTCAGCTCCATCATGGTGTTCAGCAGGTTGGGAACATTGGATCCTCCTCCACCTCCGCTGCCTCCGCCTGCTCCACTCTTGGACAGAAAGGCAAAGTTCTTCTCCAAGATGGCACGGTAGTATTTCTTCTGCACATTGGTTAGCTCCACTTCAATGATAGTTTCCTCTTTTGGTGCAAGATTTTTCTCTACATCCTCCTTCAGTCGGCGTAGCATCATAGGCTTCAAAATTCCTTGCAGCTTTTGCACCTGAACCCATAGTGTTATCATTACATCCAGGTATACTTCACAGATTGATTGCAATGATTTAAAGAGCAGCTAATATTCCATACCTGCTCTTCTGTCTTAAGATCTCCAAACTCCTGCATGAAGGTGGACTCCGAAGGAAACCTATCTGGCTCCAGGAAATTGAGAAGACTGAAAAGCTCCTCCACTGTGTTTTGCAGTGGAGTCCCTGTCAGCAGGACTTTGTGTTCCTATAGAACATAGAAGAGTCTCATTAAGCGACATGAACAAAATTCAATTCATCTACAACTTTTCCTTCCCGTTTCCAGTCTAGTAAATACATTTTGGAATATCAAATGTAGAATGATTAATGGACTTTGTCAAAAAAACATAATAATTTCAGATATTTCTAGGATTTTACCAGGACGGTGTAAATGTCACATTCAGTAAATACTTAAGTGTAAGCTTGACCTAGGTTATAGCAGATTATTTTCTGGCACTAACCATGTCCATCATCTTTAAGCCCTCAAGCAGCTTGCAGTTCCTATTCTTGAGCCTATGAGCCTCATCAATAATCACGCAGCGCCATGGCACATTTCGTAGCTCAGGGCAGTCTGTCAGGATCATCTCAAATGTGGTGATGACGGCATGGAATTTGTAGGCTCCCTTTATTATACGTCCCTGCAGGAAGAGAGAAATTTCTTATGATAAACAACCCTACGAATATAGTCCAGCAGAAATATTGTGAAACATTATCTTCTACAACTCAAATGAGAAAATAAATCAATGCATATAAAATGACAAAGGAATTATTTACCTGTGTGTCCCTGTAGTACATCTCGTAGGCCTGAATGGTCTTTCGGCTGGCCTGGCTACCATGATAGACCACTACGTTTAGCTCCGTCCATGTCCTGAACTCCCTCTCCCAGTTGGGAATAGTGGAAAGAGGAGCAATCACAAGAAAAGGACCGTGGATTCCCTTCAGGTATATCTCATAGAGGAATGTGATGGATTGGATTGTTTTACCAAGTCCCATTTCATCAGCTAAAATGCAGTTTCGTCTGAGGAAAAAAAAAAAAAAAAAAAAACAACAACTCAAATTCAAAGCATCTTAACACTTAAATAGTATCAAAAACCATGGTTTAGCACACATATGTGCAAGCGGTGCGGCTGGACAGCTGGGTAATTGCATACATACGTGTTGTACCAGTTGAAGAGCAGCCAGTTGACTCCCTCCAGCTGGTATTCCCTGAGCGCATTGGCGTTTTTATATTCTCTGGAACTCTCGGATTTCTGCCAGTCGCTGGTGGGAGGTCGCTCCTGTTTCAAATAAAACAATTCCCGTTAGTGGTTTCTGTGCAACCGCAAGAACGTGGCCCTCTCCCCTCACTAGCTCAGCACTCCAAAGAGAAAATAAAGAGAAGGCTAGAAGAGTGCCAGCTCTTACCACGCGCTTCAGCTGCGGCTCACGCGCCATCACTCTCTCAAACTCCTCAATCTTCACTTGGTCTATGTCAGCTTTTAACTCCCACGTGCTGTCCTCATAAGGCAAGGAGCACCACTTTACCAGGTACAAAGTCACAAGCTGTAGGAACACACAACACAACTTATCTAAACGATGGTTCTCAAATTTTTTCTAAATTTTCTGGGGGCGGTGTGACTGACATCTTCATAGCTGCAACAGAGTAAGAGCTTCAATCAAGGTAACCCATGTTGTTTTGAGAGACAGATGGTTTGAGAACGATTGAAGTGGATTGATGATAGAGAGAAGTCATACCTCTCCATTTTCATCTGTGCTTTCAGACACATCCAGAACCCTGTCCACCTCCACATAATCTGGGTTGAAGGGCTCATCATCCATCTGTCAATAAGAGTGTGATTGATTGGTTAGATGGAGCACTGCAGAATGCCAATTACACTGGTGCTTGAGCCGCAACTACTACAAGCCTCTAAATGAGAATCTACCAGGTGGAATATTTTCAGAGCTTTTATGATGTGGGTGGCATATACCTCTCTGGGAAAACCCCACCTGGTTTTGATAGACTGAAAAGCCCTTTCAAATGTAGTGTGGAATTGCACAGCACAAATGAAATTCTCGGAATACATTTCAGTGCAGCTGCTTGAATTACTTTAACTTGAAGTTAACTGAGCAGCATGTGCTGTGAGATTGCGTGTAAAAGAGATAAGGGCTTGAAGTGAGGCGTTTTATTGCCTTAGCATGGATGAGATTGTTCAAAACGGCACCATAATACCAGCACAACACCACTGCTGAGCATACATACTGCCACCATTATCAGTGAAAGCCATAAAACAGGAGTAGAAAGAACAGAATAATAAAAAAAGACAAAATGGTGGATGACAAAGAAAATGGAGGGTCAATTCTAACCTCAGTTACGAAGGTACTAAGGGCCTGTTTAGCCCTGAACCTCTTGATCTTCTGCTGGATTCTCTTATCCTTCTCCAGCTCTTCAATGTCTGCCCAGCGACAATGCAAGTAAGAGCTGAAAAAAAAAACAAGACAATTAAATTTACTTATTGAATGAACTTAGAAAAAATAACATTAAATAAGTTGCTTATGTCAGATAAACAAGACTAAGCATGTTTAAGCAAGTTTAATCTATGCTTTGGATTAAAGCATGTCTATTTGACATGATGAGAAAACCCAATGACCTTTAGCTTAGTTTGCAAAAACTGACAAATGAGATCAACAATTGTTTTCTATTTGCATGCTACACAGTCAGATTAGACAATAGTTTTAATGCAATACTCACAAGCCCTTGAATTTGACGTAAAACTCTTCGACTTCTATCTCTTCACCAGACGCCAACTGTAAAATAAGCAGAAACATTAATTAGTTGTTTGAAAAGGGTGCATTTATACCATGCTTGGAGCGTTCAAATAACTAGTTAGCGTAATTTTGATCCATCACAACATCAGAAGCGTAAACCATTTCCTGTGAAAAACAACTCTGCATTTTGGCATTGCTCTGAAATTTAATGCCCCAGGACAAAAGCAATGACAAGACAGACTGGGTGGGGATGAAAAAAAAAAAAAGCAAGAGCAATCCTCCTCCTATTCTCTTTCTCCAGCTAGTAGTACGCTGTGCGGCTGAGTCATGAATCACTTCAGCTCTTCTACCACACACAGCCCCATTCACAGGGAGCTGACCCAGGGCCTGGCTTCCTGCCAAAACCACAGCGCTACGGCAGACGCCAAACCTACCATTTCCTCGGGCGGGAGCCCATTTGCAGCTGTGCTACTAAGAGCCATGCACGGCGTATTATTTTTGGCCAGGCTTTGTTTTGTGGAGCGGTTTCAAAGGAGTAACATTGTGCGCTGCCACGGCCTGCAACTAAGGATCTGAGATTTATCACGCTGAGAGACAGTTTATTCTTACACGGCTTCATCTCAAGACCTTGCAACGGCTTTACTCTGAACTGGCCATGGCCTTTCCTGGATTAATACTACCACTGTCATGCTGAAGACAATATCAGCCCACTCAGGCATCGTCCTGGCAATCACAGGGTCTGGGGCAGGATTTGAGACAGCTGTTAGGTGTAATCTGCCTTGATCCAGCAGACAGCAGCGGTTTAAACTGGTGTGAGAGGCTTTCAGCGGCTCAGCTCACCTCTTTCTTTCCCATTCGCATCCCCATGATCTTCTCCACCACAGGACCTTCCGCATCCGGCAACTCCTACAGCACACAGGGGAATGAAGGACACAGAGTCAGTGTGAGAACATCCATCATGCATAACAAACAGCAGGTTACATCAGCAGTTTTCCAGCTCTACTGTGGGGACTGTTAATCAGCTATCAGCACAATTATAAACAATTTTACACACACACACACAACCATAAGTCCTCGTGATATTGACCTGCTGCTCAGATGTAGTTGGAGACTTTGGTCCTGCAGAATCATCTCCATCGTCGTCATCTGAAATTCTAAATTCAAGATCTTCAGTATATCGCTTCCTCTTCACCTGCCGACTAGATCGTCTCTTCTGTAGTCAAGCACACACACATACACCCAAATTACACAATGGCAAAAATGCAAAAGTATATTCATTGAGGTCTTACAAGGCAATTACTTTAGAGAAAGATAAAAAATGGCAATGACGATATTTTTGAACAGTATGCACAACTAACTCAAGGAAATTTTACTGCAATGTTAAAAAAAAATAATTGTGATATAATTTTACATGAAACATGTTTCGTATAGAGGTGTGAAAACTTGCAGTAGGTATACTAATTGCTAGGTAAATAACAACCAAAGAAATTACAACATATTCTGATAATATCTGCAAGACTTTTAGGCCCAATCCCATTTCTACCTCTTAGCCCTTCCCCTACCCCTCGTTTTGCGTGTTGATGTCAAGGCGTAAAGTAACAATAATGTTATTTTCATGTGTTTAGATGGATGAAAATGGCCACGGTGTAAATGCACAGTACAGTTAAAAATCTTAAAAACAGAATTTAGATTGGGCCTTAGTCATAGTGTTACAAAGTCTAAATGTTTGCACTTTGACAGTTTTTGTGCCTGAAATATTTATTTTTATCAAAAAGTATCTACTTTAGCGCAATCATTACAAATGCTTTTTAAAAATAGAATTTCTCTACTGAAATTATATCACAATAGTCAGCAACAATATCTAATTTTCCCAGTATCGTGCAGCCCTAAAAAGAAGACATTAATACATCAGCATTATCAGTCAATCTCTAAGTATTGCTTTAGGCCTAAGAGAAACCCATATTAGTTGATCGACAAAGACAATAAAAATGCTTACACTGTAAGAATCTGATTACAAGCAAGTTTACCTGAACACCATCATCATCTTCCTCCTCTGGTGACTGTGGTGGTGTTTTCTCCACATCAGAGGTGACTGAGGGCTCTCTCTTACGCTTTGCCTCTTTCTTGGTGCTGTTACCGGACTCAGAGTCAGACTTTTTAGCACTGTGGGTGAACAGGGGGGTTTGGTTAATGCAACAGCAAATAAACCACAGATTTGTGTGGGGCAAAAGTAAAACCATTACTCTGATTAGTTTAGAAAAGAACATGATGTCAAGCACAAGAATTTAAAGATGCAATAGGTGTTGGTCTTTTTTGTTATGCTGGTCTCTCTACATCCTGATATCAGTCATTAAATTGCAAGAATATTCTGTGATTTTCTTCAGATCTGTGGACCAAAAAAAAAAAAAAAAAAAAAAAAAAAAAAAAAAAAAAAAGTTCATCCAATCAATGTGCCTATCAAAATATGTAATTATTTAGGATATAAACAGGATACTAAATTATAAAGGCTTACATCATTGTTTTTTTTGTTTGTTCGATTAAAAATGTAGAAATTTAAAGGTAGTAATATATACATTCAATAAAATATAAAACACTTAAAGGTGCAGTAGGTGATTGTCTCCAGAATTTTTTTTGCTGTGCTGTTTGAAAGTGTCTTCACATTCCAATAGTACTGATTAAAGTAAATGATCTAAATGTGTTATGTTTTTTTTATATATATATATTCTGGGTAAGGCATAAAACTAAAAAAAATGAATTTATCATTCAATTAAAATAATGTCGGGCCGACATCTCCCATAATTCCGAAAATTAGTTCAAACTGTCTGTCAGCAAACTCAGATTTGAGCTACTGTGCACCTGTTTGTACGCAGCTCTGCCGTTTGTGCATACACGTGATGCGCGTTCATGGGAGAGAGAGGGGTAAAAACAAGCTAAATCAAAACTTTTTTAAAATCCTGAATCAATATTGGAGATACTTTTGCACGCTGGAGGAAGGACGACACCATGGCTGAAATATTTCTCTTAGACAGATTATGTTATGTTTTAAAACTCTTTTAGTGATGCAGAGCTGATGTAGATTGAGTGTTATGAATGGGCTATATGCACAGAAGGCTTCCGGCGATAGATTGATGTGATTATTTTCAGTTTTATAAGAGACCGTTTACAGTAGTGATAATGTAGATTTTATTTTAAGTTTAAAAACAAAACATGGGTAAATAGGGCTGCATGATTAATCGAAAAAAGGTCACAATCTCGATTCGACCCTACACACGATCTTAATTCAGCTTTTCTATGATTTAGCCAATTATATTTTTAAGGTCAGGAGAGAAGCAAGGCAGTCGCACAAGTCTTCACAGCAAGATTGAAACCTTCAAATGGTATTAAAAGTGTTACATACTGTATTTATAAGGTATAATTCACCCAAAAATGTAATTTCTGTCTTTATGTAATGATGTATAATGATGTATTCGCGGCCGCGAAATCACAGGTAAGCTGACCGTGAGCTGTTTGTTTACTTCCGAGAATGAGCGTGTGCACGACAATGACACCTACTTTACTGAACAAAACCTGCTTAGGCTGTGTATAACAGGTAATGATGTTGTAAATAATGTTCAGTTTGTTGCGCAGAGCGATCCTTTGAGGGCCGTGCGGAAGGTTTGATTTGGATGTGTGTGTTGTTTCTCACAGTGACAGCAGCCATGAGCCGCACTCGGAAGTGAAAGTGAAACCGAAACCGGTGCGCACATCATTTAAATGATCGTATCGCATTTTAGAGTTATGATTACGACAAGTATTTGATGTTTTTTTCTTTCATAGCGAACACAAAGTGTTGTGCATGAAAATAAATGTTTACTGTGTCAGTATAACAACCCTAGCCTATAAATAATGTTGAATATACTGCAAGAAGGAATCTGATAATTATGATAAATCCAATATGGGAAACAGCCACTAGATGCCGCTAGTTTCAGGCAGCGGCCATTTTGGAATGAAAATTCTTATAGAACAACAACATATAAGTCTGTAAAATAAACTATTAAAAGTGCTGATGATTGTGATAGCAAGTGTTGTATTGCCATCTTTCATTTGCCATATTTTTTCTGATATTTCTCATTTGCCGCATATGTTAATTTAATGATGCTAATATATCACATTATTCAAATCTAAAATGCTTTGACAATACTGTAAATGTCATTCCAATATAGCAACTTTAGAGAGAGAGAGAGAGAGAGAGAGAGAGAGAGAGAGAGAGAGAGAGAGAGAGAGAACTCTGTCAGTGGGTGCACATGGCTCCTAAATAGCATAAAAGTAAGAGAAATAGTGGATTTCTATTATTTTAACAGCCTTTTTTTAAAATAACATTAACCCACTGAAAAGAAAAGGTGTATAAGTGTCATTATAAATACAAATCAAGTAAAAAAAAATTACATAATTTTTTCCTCGCATATAGTTGACCATTTATGTGCTGTGGGAAGTATATTTTATTTTAAACCTGCGCTAAGCCCTGCACACTGAGGTAATCTCACGAGGAAATGTAACTTTTACGTTTTTTTCAGTTTAGTGGCTATTTTGTTCAGTTGTATGAAAACATACTACCATTTACACCACTAACACCCCCCAAACCCACGTCTAACCCCCCATTTTACTTTCAAGATTGCAACTCTCAAGATACTGTTAGTTATGTTTCTTTCTGCATCCCCATAATGTGTAATACTGTGCTAATCAATAATGAAAAATTATTACCGTAAACAATGTATTTAGTGACACCAAATAAACAATTGTCTAATATGAAACGATACACTTTCTATGCAAGTAATGTGCATTTAAAGCGCATTTATCGTGTATGGTCTAACACCTAAAGCGCTTCACAATCATGAGAGGGGGGTCTCTCTACACTACCACCAGTGTGCAGTATTCACTTGGATGATGCGACGGCAGCCACAAGACAATGGCGCAAGTGCATTTACCACACACCAGGTATTGGTGGAGTGAAGAGACAGAGATACAGCCAATTCTATGAATAGGGATGATTGGGAGGCCATGATCCTAAGGGCCGATAGAGGGAATATGGCCAGGACACCAGGGTTACACCCCTACTCTTTATGAGAAATGTCATATGGTTTTTTTAATGACCACACAGTGTCAAGACCTCGGTTTAACATCTCATCCGAAAGACAGCGCTCACTGAGAGTGTAGTGTCCCCTTCACTATACAGGGGCATTGGGACCCACACAGACCACAGGTTGAGCACCCCTGCTGGTCTCCCTAACACCACTTCCAACAGCAACCTAGTTTTTCTGTGGTCTCCCATCTGGGTACTGACCAGGCTCTGCCCTGTTAGCTTCAGTAAGTAATCGGTCTTAGGCTGCAGGGTAAGGCAGAACTTCTGTCTATAAAAACACACTTGCACAATAACTAGAAAATTGCAGTTTAAAGCTATTTCGGCGGAATGTCTCAAATCCCAAGACACATGTCATGTGTATCTATAAGTGCATATTTGTATCTTTAAATTTCTCTTTTCATTTTACCTGCTGGTTTTTGCTTTAATGTCTTTCCCTTCTTAAGTGTGGTTACCAAAATAAAAAAATAAAAATCGAGGGAATGAGAGAAGGAAGAGCTAGTTAACTCCACTTCCAGCACAGAGTCGCGCGCTCTCTCCTTGCCACAGATTACACAATGCCCTGGAGGCTCTCGCGCTCACTCGCTCTGGGGCCCCCCTCTCTTTTCATTCGCACGCCAAGAGCAATCAAATCGCCCTGGTAACCGGCGGTCACGTGACCCGCACCTGTTCCTCTGGCTGGACGCCACTGGCTAAAGCCATCTGCTTGCCTCAGTCAGAGTCTCTCTCTCCAACACTCCTCAAGCACCTGCAGCCGCACCACTCTATGGCTTTGGATTTCATACTGTCACTGCTCAGCAAACACAGCCAGAAAGGAGAGCGGAGGGAAAAAAAAGGGAAAAAAAAAAATCACATACAAAAGGAAGAAAGAAAAAAAAGACAGGAGGGGGGAAAAAGCCACGAGGGCAAGAAGAACGCTCAGTTCAGGGGGAGGGATGACAGCCTTCCTTTAGATGGCTGACCTTTACGAATCATAAAAGCCAAAGAGCTGCTATAGGATGCAGGACATGCACTGTAGATTCAGATGAACGGGCAAGTGGGGTGGGCCATGGCGTGTGTAGTCTTTGAGACAAGCTGGCAGAGAGGGAGAGAGAGGGGCTAATTGGCATTAGCAGGGGGAGGACGCAGGCCCCGCTGCACGTTTGTATGAGCCACAGTACTCCAGTGCTGACACTCAGGAGGAGGAGAGAGGGCCAGGGGGTTAATGGGACACCTGCCGTCGCCAGTGAGATGACTCATCTTCAGCTGGACCCCCCCACACGTTGCTTGCTCTAACAGCAGCTGCTCACACGTACACACATGACTGTTTACCCTCAACAGCTCTTTTGCAGCATCACACAGGCGTAAACGTAAACACACGTACATAAACAAGGACATAAAACACAGAACAAACATGCTACAACAAGTTAAAGGCAAACAAAAACAGGAGTCTGCATTCTCTACAGAGCACCAGCTAATTAAGAACAAAAAAAGACAAAACAGGGTCACCTTTTTTAAAATTGGGACATGCCCCCAACACACCCTGTTAGTCAAAGTGACTGGAATCAAAAGAGGTGGCATGATTAAATTTGCACTTAAACATGCCTAAACTAGGGGAGGGGAAATGCCTGAGTGGCGAACTGTGAGGGAGAACGTGTGGAAAGAGGATATGAGTGGGTGAGTTGAGATATATGAGAAAAGGAACACAAACTGTGCCGTGGAGTATGAGAGAGAGAGAGAGAGAGAGAGAGAGAGACAGAGACAGCAGAAGGATCGCTAGCATGCGAGCATGTGATAATAGGTGGAAAAGGACAGTGTAGGCATGCAATAGCGTGTGAAAGTGTTAGAGGCCCAGCCGAGGAGATACACAGGAAGAAAGACAGGGGGAAGACAACAGTGTCAGGTCTTGTGTTCTATGGCACGTTTCCACTGAGTGGTATAGTACGGTTCCACGAATCGCACCATTTTTTGTTCACCAAAATGCGGAGCTAGACACGCAGCCGATTGCTATTGGTTTACAGAGATACGTCATTCGCTCCCGCAACAAGCCAGAATGAAAAGAAAGAAGCTGCCATGTTTTAAATACACAGCCGAGACATTATACCGTAATAATATACATATAATAACGAGCCATGGTCGACCTGAGCTCAAACAAACCTCGCCTTGATGTTTGATGAACAGCCACAACGCCAAAAATAACAAAATCTGCTTTTCCCTGCTGTTGTTTTACGACCCCATCTTAAAAGTGTGAGCGGTTTCACTTTGTCCATAGAGCTCGCGAATGCGTCTATATTTGAAATAACAAACTTTGAGTTCATATTAATAAAGTGCTCGTGATCATTAAAGTGCTCTGATATCCGATCCAGCCAGAAAGGGACAAACGCAAGAGTGAAGCCAGAAAAAACAGCAGCAAATGATGCATCTGCAACCTAAAACATGAAAAACTGCCATGTTAAACTATTAACATCACCTTTTATGCTGTTATAAACTCAGAATGAAGGAACTACTTTCTAACAAGAGGCAACACGTGCTGCTAAAAATTTAAGACACAGATGAGAGGTTTGCACTTACTGTGGGCTAAATTTAGTGTTGTTTTTGAACCTAAATAAGGACTAAATCTCTGATGTGTGTAGTTTTTCTGCGAGTGTAACATATCGCAGACTGTAATTTATCAATTCTATATAATTCGCAGACGTTACAGTAGGCCATTTCGTACTATCATTGATCTGCAGTGAATGTTCATAGAAAAGTTAGTAATAAACATTTATAAAGAAGTATTTATGCGTATAAAGCATCTGTTTTGTGAGAAGTGCTTCTCATATAGTATGTGAACGTACAGCATTTTCTCGAGCGGAAGTGGCGTTGACCAAAACTTCCTGTCATACACCCCGCCCACCAAAATAGTACCATTGGTACCCTTTAGCAGTGGAAATGCAAGCAATTTAATTACTCTGAATCACTGAGAAGGCTGGTTGATTATATGAAGTGCAGCCATACGCAACATAAAAACCCTAAAAATCCTTTTTAGGAGCTAAAATTGTCAAGAAGCAGTTTAAACCACTTAAAAAATTTTTTTTTTTTAAATGCAGAGTCAAAACAGGTCTTTTATGCACCCAGCACTGGATGTGGCTCTTTGTTTTAGCAAGAGAGGCTTTGATGGAAGTGAGTACCACCAGCAATGCGAGCTTGTCCCCCAGTGGCTGCGCATTCACCGTTCAGCACACTTCTTGAATCCATTTTCTGCACCTTCACACTCGCTCACTCTTTTGAGGCAGTGGCCTGTCTGATCACCAAAGCAGTAAACACAAGTCGGCACAGGAACTAAGGCCTGCCAGCCTTGCAAGTATAAAAAAAAAATAAACGGGGATGACAAAGTGAGCTACTTGGCCCTTTCCTTCTGTTGTGCCATCCACCTCTCCGCACTTTGTCTTTGAGGTTCAATGTCACACAGAATCCAACTTTCTTTTTTTTTCTCAACTGGAGCCTGGAGGGGAGACAAGGCGCAGTGTTTGTTTGAGGACAAATAAGCAAGCAGTCTGGCATAAAGGTGTTGTAGTACAACTCGCAAGCGAACAGGCATGCTGGTCCCGCAAGCAAAGAGCTTTGAGTACACACACTGCAGCACTTCCTATGCAACCGCGACTGTTGTGGTTTTTTGTATCTGAGTGCACAGGATGTAGCTAAGATAATCTGTGAAAGAAAGACTCCACTCCGACATGAAATGAAAATCAAAGGGCAGATGGAACTGCCCACCCAGGTTAGGGCGTTATGCAGTTAGAAAACAACCCCACCGCCTAAAACGGGGGCTTTGCTATAGTTGCTTGGGAACCTGCCAATAAACTGAAGGTGAGAGGTGTGCATTTGCAATGCAAAATAGTCTTCTCGTGGGGGGAAAGATCCACATGCAGTGCAGCACTGAGGAGGGATCTTTCTGAAGTGTTTGATGCCTGTGTGTGTATATGGAAAACAAACCTGGGCACACAGATGCTCACATTTTACCCTGGGTGCGGCTAGAGAATGACTATTTATAGTTGTACTTTCTTTGTCAGATAAGAGCGTAAACAGATATGAGGCCAAAACTTTTAATGTCCAACCTAGTTTCCTGTACTCCACTTGCATGATCAAAATGGGCAACCAAACAAGTAAAGCATGAAGAGCTGATCAGACAAACAACTTTAGATGGGGGGAAGAAATGAATGACACTCATAAAATCAGGAACGTGCTATTTGTAGCCCACTTTGAGAAATGGGGTCACAGTTTAAAAACTATCCACAGGGGCTCACCAATGCCACACATCCAGCACTGTAGCAGATTTGGTCAAATTCAGGCCGGCATGATTAATGAGACATCATTGTGGACCAACTAGCATTAGGTGCCATTTTGAATGGAGACATCCCCCTTCTCCTTTCCAAACACACATGCGTCCCTCCTCCCCTTCAGATGACCTACTGCTCTGGCACTGTGCTGCAGATGCGCTGCTGAGTGCTTGCATTGGCCCGGCCCTTTTCCTCTGGATGAAAGAGATGCGGCGATGGAGTGACGGGGCTTCGGCTGAGTGGGGGTGGAGGAGGTGGTTATGGGGGAAGGCTGACACATTCCTCAGCCAGATCATATTACTACCTCAGCTAGAAGAAAAATGGCCATGCAGCCCTTCTACTCTGCATATCCAGGATGGATGCTTTTTTCTTTCTTATTATGAGGTGAATGGGAATGTGACTGAGGGTGGCATAGGAACAAAAAAAAAATTAAAATAGTAGGACATTTACATGTGATAAGCACCCATGTATTCATAAGACAGATGGATGTTGTGTGGCTATGACAATGGATGATTTTCAGAAACTGACTCCTGACTATTTTGCAAAACAAGTGACCATCAAAAATGAGATGCATTGACAAGCCACTTCAAGTTTAGGTAACAGCAAAGGTTTCCTCAGAAAGGCGTCAAGTTTGTGGTTTAGCGCTTGCAAGTTCAAAGAAAAAAGAAAAAAAAAAGAAAAGAAAAAAAGTTCAACATCTATACAGTTTGAAGACAATATCAAGTTCTCAGTGTCTCAAATGCAATAATACACAACAACTCTGACACTTCTGTACTGAATGAACTCTGATATGGTACACCAGCTTGTGTCAAACCAAGCAAAATCACCTGTACTAAACAGATCTAGAGTTCTATGAACCAGAAGAGCATAAGGATTCTGACTGCACATGTATCATCTAAACAAAAAAAATAGAAATAGTCCTGTAAACAGTCATTCAAATTTAACACTATGCAAAACTGCAACATATACACATATATATATACATATATATATATATATATATACATATATACATACATACACATACATACATATATACATATATATATATAAATATATACATATATATATAAAAAACTCGTTTATACTCTACACGTACCTGGGCTTTTTGGAGCTCTTAGGCTTCGGCGTGGCAGTCTTCACTTTTTTCTCCTTAGGTTCCTTGGGTTCTTTGGGTGTCTTGGGAGTCTTCGGAGTTTTGGGAGTCTTGGGCTCTTTCGGTTCCTTGGGCTCCTTCTCCTTTGGTTTCTTTTTACTCTTTTTCTCAGCTGGCTTCTCCACAGGAGTGATAAGGGAGTCTCCCTCATTCATCAGAGCAGTCACCTCTCCTCCAGCCTCACTGCTAATGTTATTACACTCCTGGCCTTCACTCACCTTGGCTTTCTTCTTTTTCTTCTTTTTTGGCTTGAGCTCGCTCTCCTTCTGCTGTAGGTCACAGTTGGCTGGTTGGAGGTTTGGGCCCATGGCAGGTGTCTTACTAGATGTTATAATCTCCAGGGAAGGGTCTGGTGGAGAATGCTGCAATTGAGAGAGAGAGAGAAAAGGGGAATTGTACATTTAAATAATAACTAAGAAATATAATAAAACGTAGATGTATTTATCTCCCTAGTCAAGTAAGATAAAGTGGGGGAATTGAATAAAACTATCTTTAACATACTCAAACAGCTATCCCTGTTGCTGTTGACCCTCAAGGCGTGCCATGTTACTACTAGGTCTGAATCCATTTGCTCCCGTTAGTGCCAGTGATAACTGTAGCTCGGCAGAATTACCGCAGCAACGATTTTGCCTCTATCATAGCTGTTATCTCCATTTCACTCTCCATTCATGGCAAAGACAGACTGACAGGAAACATGTTGGCAGCTGTGCTAAGCGTCCAGCTTCCCAGAGTCCCAACAGCAGATGGGACTGAGGCATTCTGACACTAATAAATTATATCTATACTTCATGAATGCCTCTGTTTTAGATGTCAGCAAATTCAATGCAATATGCTAAAGCTTTCAAAGGGCATATACATGTGCAGAAAAAAACTGGCCTGGTGAAAGCGGTTTCCCCCTTGACAACACAGAAAAGAATATGGTGTATGGATTCTATAATCCATCTGTTGGTTCTAGTCTAGAGTAGGGTTGTAACGGTATGAATTTTTCACGGTATGATAATCGTCTAAAACAATACCACGGTTTGACGGTTTCGCGGTATACGGTATGTTACAAATGTTACAAAATAATAGAACAGTGAAGCAAATTTGACTTTTTCCAAATAATATATTTTTAGTTACTATAAACAACACCACTTACAATGAACAAATAAAAAATTAAGAAAATAATAAATAATGTGTCAAAGTCCAAATAAAGTCCAAATAAACATGGTGCAAATCCTCAGTAAAAAATAGATAAATAGTAAATATTTACTATACTATAAATAGTTACATAACGAAACTAGATTCAATATGGAACATCCTTAGGTTTTATGTGCCAGCATGGATATGGTTGTCTGTGGATATGGATTTGGATATGGTTGTCTGCAATGCAGATAAACAGCTGCATCTTCATTTGCGTCTTTTGAAAACAGCAAGAGCAGCAGTTCGTCTTTGCTGTGTCACTGTTTTGTCATGTTTCTGTGCTGCTGTGCATGCAAAAGTACTTAGTATGAGAATTATTTCATGCAAAACTTTTTTTTTTGCCGTTTTATTTAGCCGCGCATAAATGTATGCCTATCTCTCATTCAGTGTTGTTCAAAAAGCTTGGTCCACAAACAAAAGCGAAACCTATGCTTATTGGTTGTGATATAGCGAGTTTGAACCAATCTGGGCATGGAGGAGGGACAATGCATCAATGTATCATGTCTGATTTGTCCGGAGACACAGTGATGAGCGTTTCTTTGTCAAATCAGCGTTGTCAAATGTTGATGACGTAACCGCACTGATTCCGGAGCCTCTGAAAGTCCAATGTTATGTGATACGGCACTGGAAAGCTGAGATTCTCTTCTTTATGCCAATCTTTGAATTGTATGAATCGGATCAGCGGATCAAAAGTTATTAAACATTTAAGAGCAATACTTATTTTTAGCCGCGGGTGGCTGTCTCGGTCTTTAAGGGTTAAAACCGTTGATATGCAATTGTTCATGGTATGATAATCGTGCACGTTCAAATCATGGTAAACCGTCATACCGGTATATTGTTACAACCCTAGTCTAGAGTTTTATTACATAACACGCTTTACTTTAAAACAAAAGACTTTGCAAACCACATCAATGTGGTGATAAAATGCATATTTCCTGTAAACAACGGCATGAAAAATAAGAGTGCACAGTGCATGCAAACAGTGGCAAGGTCACAGAAAATGCCCAACACCCAGCGCAATGATGGTCATTAGAGCAGCTGGAACAGCGAGTGTTCTGTCGTTGCTTTAACGGATAAATGTCTCTCCTCTTGCCAAGCCTACCCAATAATCAATTGCATGAATGACAATAGGCCTACTGCACGCGCTCTCTGCATTTCTAATTTGACAGCAGCAGTCCAGAATACAATATGTTCAATATAGGATTTCATCTCTCGGAGGGGGAGACTGACGTGTCAGTTAATCTAGCAGGCAAAGTGCTCACTCTGTGAGCTAAATACTCCCTGAAGGAGCACTGCTCTTCAGCTCAGCACGGCAGGCTTTTTGCAGGGCGAACCACTGAGTTAACACCCAATTCATCTGATGAAAAGCTGGCTCCCAGACACAGAAACTAACCCTCGCTAAACTTTATCTTCGAGATTCATTGCTCTCTGCTGCTGAACTTCAGCCTGCTTCTAGCTGAGAGCAAATCTAAATGAGCTACAAATTTATGTCTCTGAAACACCTAAATATTATAAGCTACTTAGTAGCAGCTAACTACTCTAAAGAAAACTCCCACAGAATAAAAACTTGTAGATGCCAAAGGATAGCAAATGCTTCTCAATCCCTGCACCCAAGAAGCCTGAAGTTTTGGTTTAAATTATTTATGCACTTTAAATGTAAACACTAGAACATTTAGACATCTGCCATTTTACTCATTCTGTTTTGAAACTTCCTTTTACAGGATTTTGTTTGCACATTATAGTACACTAAGGTGCAAGTACTGTCCCTTTTGCACTAGAGAGAATGATGACAAGCAACTGCTGTCAGCAGAGAGTTTTAACAGGCTAGCACTTTGTAGACACTGCTAAATAGGAAATTAAGAATTATAAACATGGCTGTACTTGCATTAAGATGCAAGCATTCCCATCTGCACTTCTTAGTTCTCAAAGCCTAATGTGATGCTGTGAGCACTTGCGCTTGGTACCAGTTTGATTAGAGCCACAATGAAGAGTCTGTTCCTTAGATGAAGCCCTGCTCTACTTAAAGGTCACACTCATTTATTTCTCATGAAACCTCTCAATATTCCACAAGTGACACACTTATGGGGTTTTTATAGCATGAGAGGTGAGGGCTGTACTTTGAGCAGTAAAAAGAGGCTGTGTTATCTTTAATAATGGTGTGCAAGAAAGTGAACAACACAGCAGCCTCAAACAAAACTTAGTCTATGAGAATCAAAGCAAGACTTCAGCAATAATTTAAAGTTTTTTACAGAATGCCACGGACAACATTTACATGGACATCAGTAATGGAGTTATTTGCCTTAATTTGAATAAGACAATACTATGATTGAGGTGTTTACATGAGTTGCTTTCTAAATGTTTCTTTCAAGATCCCGTTTTCCATGTTACAGCACATAGATCGATTAATGTCAAAATGACGCTACACTATCAACAATTCCTCTGGACTTTCAAGTAATTTTAAATTTCTACATGTCTGTACTGCACTAAAAAGCATACCCCACATGTCCTAATCAATTTCTGTTTAGTTTGATTATGACTTTAGATAGATTAAGGTAAAAATAAATAAATAAATAAAAAACATGATAGACTTGTATTCAGAGTATTAAAATCAGATTATTGGTATCCATGTAAACACTCAATGCTGGTATCAGAAATGTGACAGAAGAAGCTGATATAATTAGGGGTCTGTGATGTGATGATTTTCGATCGGGGATGGATTAAAACGTCTTCAAAATCTGTTTTAAGGAGTTTCAGAGTATCATGCTAAAAATAGTTATTGTACAACATGACAAATACACATCAAATATCAACTCAGGGGTAGAGTTACACTCACAATACTTTTTCAGGTTGACAAAGGTAAATTATAAATAACTGTTTTGTTCAATCCACTTAAATTGGTTAAAACAATTAAGTTACTTTGTTGTATTGTATTAAGACAACATGAAGAATATGTGGAATATGCACAGACTTCAGCCAGCCAGCCTCAGCCCTTCCAGTGAACTGTCTTTTGAATATAAAATTACCCCATTTGAGGTTAGATTTCTTCAAAAATTAGTGATCTTCACTGCCGCGTAGATATATGACAAAGTGGGTCTCCGACTGGACAAAAAGCATTGCATTTAATCCTGTTTTTCCCTGCCTTGTCTTTAAAATATGACCATTTATTTTAACCCAGTATTTTCAATGGAGTTTTTGCACTAGCCTGTGGATACTGATGGCACTAGCAGTTACATGGTTTTCTCATTTTACGCTTGAACAGCTAAACGAATGCTTAAGTCTGTTTAACTGAATTACAACATCGATGCTGTAAAAGGAACCTTATAAAATTGAAAATAGTCGCATTAAAGTTTAAACGGAAGTTTATCACTGGCTGAAAACACTAGCTGTGCATACACCACATTGTGGAAAGCTCCATTTTTATTTATTTAATGCAATTGTAGTCATGTAGTCTAAACGCCCAAAAACAAGAGTCTAAGAAAGCGGTTACAGCAAGCACATTCATGATATACATTTACAGTGGTGTACATTAAAGGCAAGTAAGAACAAACACAATTGCAAAAAAAACATGATAATGTTGTGGCTCAAGTGTTCCCAAGCTCTTTATCAGCAAAGTATGGATTTTAGAGGTGTGAACCTACACTGGTCTCACGGTTCGGTTACGATTATCATGCCATCGATTCGGTTCGATTCGATATCTCGGTGCATCACGGTGCATTGACCATGCTTTCCATACACAGTGTTGTATTTTAGGGGGTGGCTGTAACAAGCTGTCTGTATAAACACACACACACACACACACACACACACACACTCACACTGTCTCTCACACAAACATAGACAGCAACAAACAAACATGCACGCACGCACGCACGCACGCACACACACATCCTCAAACTTACATCCACAAATGGTCAGTCTCACACACAAGCACACAACCACATACAAATCGGACACACACACACACAGACACATACACTCAAATACCACACCAACACACATGCGCGCACACACACACACTCATAAACAAAGACTTCTACACACACACACGCCAGGCGCGCTTGCTTGCTCGATCGGGAGCGATATCCACTCCTTTTAAAATTACACCAGTTACCGATCGCTCCCGCGGTATATTCAGAAATGTATTCGCATGAAATCTGGTCGGGTCCCGCGACAATGCACA